TTCCAGCTGAATTTCAATGTTGACTTCTAATGCGGGTCATGAATGCATATTTCATATTCATTTCATTTGTTAGCCTGAGAAAAATCTCTGCTGATTATCATTATCATTATCATTAACATGAACATTATCGTTATCATAATCATAATCATCAGCAGCAGCTTGTTCTGGTTTTTTAGGCTAACCTCTGAGGCCTCCGGGGGCCTTCGTCTTAAGACAGACCTCAACTTCGCAGTTTACACAAATACTTAAGCGGTCACGCCCCCTTCTTTGATAAACAAATAATAATAAAAACTAATAGCAATTATATTAACCACCCGCTGCAGCTATGTATATAGAAACGTGTTTCTTTCGTCTTTTGTATTTTATATTGTTATATTTTGTTTCATGCTCTTCTTCTTGATTATTTATTGAAGATTCGTTGACTCGCTGCTTCTGTCAGCTTTATGGCTTGAATGCCAAGGTCACGTGGGTCTAGTGCATAAATTCTGTTTATTTTATAGTGCGTACGACTATATTTTCTCTCGTACACATGTCCACATCCAAACATATGTATTTTTGGCTCAGGCAGCTGTTCGATTTGCTCCCGAAAATACGAATGTCTTATCACAATGGTTTAGCTCTTACAAACATGTGAACTTGAAACATTTGCTTCGCACAAATGTCTTATGCGTAAAAAAAAACATTAAAAATCATTGAAATCCTTATCATACTATATTTATAATTAAAAACATAAAGTGCGTAGCAAAAAATGTAAATATAAATACAAACGTATTCCGCTCACTTGAAGTTCTTATAAAAATCTATAAAAACTTTCAATTCAAATTTTGGCGCCTGCGGCAACGCGAACGCACAACAAACCGTTTGTCTCGCTTTAACGCACGCCGCAGCGGCTAAATGCTGTCGTTCTGTTAAGTTAACATACACTTCGAGTTGTAACTCTCTGTTATGCTCAAATGAGCTGTCAGCTGGTCTGTTAAGGCGCCACTAAAACGCCGCTTAACATGCTGTTAGCCGGCTATAGCAGAACTCTGTAATTGTAAGCGAGTCGCTGTTAGCAGACGTCTTCGGTCGGTTGTCGTCGCCAGTCGCAAGCGAAACATAAGCAAAAGTATAAAAAAAGTAGCAACGCGCATGTTGCCCGTCGCGTTGTTCGTTTTTGTGTTCGTTACAAATTCGAAAACAAAACAAAACACACAGTGGGAAGTGGCAAGTAAAAACAGAAACGCGAGTTATTTTTAAAACAACAAATGCAGTTGCAGCAACGCCTCAACTGTTGCTCACTTCTCCAAAACAACAAGAGAATCAAAAAGCAAAAGAAATTTCAAATAATATAAAAATAAAT